TGGTCTTCGAAGGATGAGAATATCTGTGGTCGGGACAGGCCACGGGTCAGTTTAAATTCACAGATTCTGAAGCGAATGTCATTTTTTTCTCCTTTGCTAAAGGTTTTGTTCTCACTCCACACCTGCCCATGTTACTGCCTTATCGGAACACGAATCAGACCGGGATACACAATGTAAAATCAGTAATAAATCTGAGAAATCTCTCATCACCCTGACACGGGGTCCACAAGAGGTTATAGTCAACAACAATAGCCGGCGACAAACTGCACAAAGACTGTACTGTAGAGGAAGTATCTTTGTTGTTGCTTACTCAGGTGCGAAGTAGGTTTTACTTTTTACAGTTGTCATAAATAAGCCTTCATCCCCGTACAAATGACAGAGTTGGGGTTTGGGAGGATTCTGGCCGGGGTGCAATCGTGTTTAATTGCCCGCCGTCTCTTCCGGAGTCCCAGCCAGGTGAGGTATAGGGGGGAGAGTTACCTGGCGTCAAGAGAAACTGATATCTGTCTGCAATTGTTCTCTGGGGCAGGGACCCCCTAAAGACCTGTCACTCACAGTTGTCAGTGACATGGTCGCATTATTTTCGCATCAGCACAACAAAGCGTACCTGCCTTCCGTTACCATGGACGGCAGAGATAAAGGAGGGCCAAACGGCGGCAAGCTGTTAACCACAGGTAAATGTGTACCTATACAAAAAATGCCATCCATCAAAATTCATGTACCCCACAATTAGCTAAGACTGTGGGCATGAGTGATGAATGACTCTGCCATTACAGGGTGGGTACCCAGTGGTCTGGTCTAGATCTCTACCGTCGCATGACAAGTCTTCCTGTTGTTTCCCCAAAACGGGGATCTCGTACACGAAGTCGGCTCTCCATACCACCTGTTGGAGGAACGAGGGTGTAAGTTTGCCATTTGTCCCAGCATACACCGCTAAAGAGGCCATCTGCGACCGGGGTAACAAAAGGAATGTTGTAAACTATGCAGAACGTTTCAGTGTTCTATTAGAGAAGGGATTACAGAACATCACACACATGATAAGGGAACAGTGATCTAAATCTTCCTTTTCTTCAAGATCTCAATAAGTGTGTCTGCAGATTAGATAACCAATAGAACTCTTTAATTTGTCAATTAACAATCATTCTGATGCATATAATTATTGTGGCCAGAACACTTTGAAACCTAATCCTCTCATACTTAGGCCATGTCAAACTTATCTATCCCAGATTGCACCCGAGAAAGTTACTTTAATTGAATTTACGATCTGTTCATTTAGATTGTGGACAATTGTGGTATAAATCACTATATACCCGCCAGAGTAAATGGGCCACACATAAAGCAAAAGGAGTAAAACTTACATGGGTAGACAGACATGCAAGTGCACAGAGGGAATTAGTTTTACTTTGAAGTAATATGGAAGCATAATGTTGAGAGCACAACGTGATGTTCACATGTGAGTTTGAGTACAATCTTGTAGATAGGAATTAAAAAAGGATTAGATGTGCAGCGAGGTATTTAACGCTTTTCAAATTCTACAACAGAAAAAAGTGTGCAGGTATAAATGCCATTCTTTGAGAAGAATTGTGTACTAGCTAGACGGATTGTATTCTGATAACATCGAGTCGAGGACGACTGATATAAATCGCGGAGAGAGTCCAACCCATCATTGTTGGCATCACGACGACTACGCGGTTAATTACTCGTAAATGTTAATCCGGCCGCCATTGTCGTGAAGCGGACGAGCTGTCAGGCAGACGCTGACCAGAGGGGAGCGGCGGAGAGGGGCAGAACGTGATGGATTGCGCCGGCGTTAATCCCCGACTCCAGGCGGTGTTTTCATCTCTGCGCGGAGATAAGGGCCCACAAACCGTGCCTGAGAGCTACAGAATCGCTCCCTCCCACTCCGGCATGCACCGATCCTCTCTGACGGGATGATTAACGACGCCGTCGCTTCAAAGTAAAGGCTAAGTTAGTTTAAGAGAAGGTTCCGCGCGCCGCGAACAGCGGTTTCACAACAGACGACAAACCGGCAGTCAAACGTTCAGACCACAACAACGTCACAGATTTCACCAACACTGGCTGTCGGGCCATACTGGGTTAACTTCTTGGTTCGAGGATTCACCTGCTTTATTTTTTGTCTGATTTGCAGAAATGAAAAAAAAAGAAATAAACCTAGATTCCTGTGGTAAGTAATATAACGAATGACGATAAGAATGACTGTAATTACATTGACAGTAATGTATGGTAAAAATGTACATGTACCAGTCAGGTTCTAAATCGACCCCAAAATATCCAAATTCTGGCACCAGACAATAATTGGAGAAAGTTCTTGCCTTCCCACTTGTTACAGTTTTTCCATCTACCAATGCAGTGATTTGATTAAAACTTCAAATTTCATTGTTTGAATTACATTGTACATGTATAACACAGTCTAGTACATTCGATTTGTGGCTCCACTGGTAGAATTTGGGGCTCTCACTGGATTCCTAAGGACTGTTTTGTTATTTTTTTCATCCACCTGCTTCATTGATTTCTTGCAGAAATCCAAGAACCAACGAATCGGATTGGTATGGCTTCAATTTCGAGAATTGATGGCATAGTGAGTTTTTCAGGAGATAGATGTGCCGTGCATGGAGGTGTTAAGTTATGGAGATCCACTTTATGTCTGGGAGGTTGAGGCTTAAGCCATTCTTTGACCTGGAAACATTTGTTATAAAGCAGTAACTGTTTTAGTATTACATGTACTCCCAATGCCAGATCTAAAACCATTGTCCTCTCTGCTAAAGCACAAATTGTGCTACACAATAAAACAGTGCTGTAAATGGTATTAAGCTTTAAAGATACATGTAGGAAGAGAGGAGTAGGTTGTATCGCAATTGTATCAAAAATTCTATTGTCAAAAGCGATGTAAAGCAAAGGTTATGATAGTAGTTATATCGTTCATATAATGTCAATTGTCAGAAAGTATAATTTGACAGGGAGAAAATGCACTTTTGTGAGTGCCTGATGCCCAAAAAGTAAGTAAAAATGTGGCATGATTACGACCACTGTAAAGGGACATTAATTTTGTCTGCGGACCATTTGGGATAAAATCTATTCGTGTAACATTACTTTCTTCAGTCAGTTCAGTACAGGTGACGTAAAAATTCATGATACGGCGGCAAGTGTACTTGTGAACATGAAAAATTTGTGTGAAGAGATTTCCCCGTTCAACCTTGCCTCTGGATCTGTCACATCGTTGGAAACGCACAACTTGACATTTCGTCCATTATTTTCCATCAACTTCCAGCGTGTAAAAAATCCATTCGCAGTCCTCTCTGTAACAACATCTTCCGCGGAGCCGCTGAATAGGTCGCTTACATTTCCATCTCCGCCTTATCAAAGCTTTGCACGTCATTAAGCGGTGTACGCAACACCTACAACACTGACGGTAATCCCTTATGGCCAGTTACCGCGATCTGGTACACCGACCCTCCCTTTTATCGTGGAGCGCCACACTGTGCGCGGGGTAACAGCATGTGACAGGCATTGAATGTCGGACTCAGCCGCGTGGTGAAATCTTGTAGCCAGGAGACTTTACAAGTCAGGAACATATTGTCCATTGGCGAGCGTCTTCCTCCGTAGATACGGTCTGCTTCGCGCTGATATGCCGGCAGGCCCTTCTCTCCGCAATTCCTCCCGAGCCCCCCGCAATCGTGTCGCTCCATATCGATTTATACGAGACACTCGCGTCCTCGGAAAAGTGTGAATGGTCTATATTTCACCTGGACTTGGACCTAAAGGTGCCGGCTTTGGGGACGTCTACAAATTTACAGGGAAATGCATTAAACTCCGCATTACACAGAGTTTGGATTTGGCACTAGCAACATTTCTTTGTTAAGAAAAACAACTGCATCTAGCGATCTTGTTCATTTATGTGATTGAACAATCTCCTGACCATTTTCTAATATAAAGAGATCTGCTGAATGCTTTGTGTGCATATTTATCTCTCACACAGTATGTAACTTTTTACATGTATAGCGTATCCTGTGTATTAAGTTGCAGGCCTATGGTATTATGGAGAAATCTGCAATAAAAAGTACTGCTACCTAGACTACAGCAGTGTCATACATCAAACTGTCACACAGTACCAATTGCATTTCTCGACTCAAAAACAAGTCGCAGAAAACACTAGATATAGTGCATCCTTAACAAAAAATCACAGGCCTGCTGAATTAGAGAGAAATCCGCAATGAAATGTACCAACATCAGAATTAATGCAACATCATAAATCAAACTGTTCCTCTCTCCTCCCATACATGTAGCACCTCTGGACTTTAACACAGTTCTTAACTCTGAGAATAGTTTGATGAATAAAACACGTCCTAAGTTTACGAAGTGTTTTACTGGGTAGTTCTTAATCTTTAACATATACAGTTCTAATGTAAACAAAAGATTGGACACTACAGGTAAGATATTTATCACCATAAATATTGGCCTGTGTTATAGCATCAACTTGCAGGCACTGCTAGTCATTGGAAAAGTATCTAACTACATGTATTTTATGATTTAGCCTAGCTACATCACGCTTCTAGTAGCCCTCCAACTGGTCAGGCCACTAGAAGCTTGATGGCTAATGCCTCAAAGTCAAGAGAATCCTGTTTGCGTATTTGCAAACATGGACCAATCACTGTAAGACTGAGAACTGTCACCATAGTGATGGAGACTCTGATGACAGGTTTCCATGGTGACAGAGAATCCTGAGCTTCTATTGGACTGATGTTCATAGTGATAAAGAATCCTGAGCTCCTATTGGACAGATGTTCATAGTGATAGAGAATCCTGAGCTCCTATTGGTAGTTCTGGGAATGGGAAGGGTTCTCTTGAGTTAGAGGTGTATGGTCACAAGTTTTTAGAGAGGAGGCCTAATCAGCCCCTGAAAGAGAGAGATCGTGTAACACAGACTATATTTTCATGTTTTGATACAGATAGAAACAGATAGATGTACAGTGTAGACCTACCATGTCTGCCAGGGGGAAGGAGCCAGTGTAGCCCTCCTCGGGGTCAAAGTTACAGAGGTCGATGTGAACCTCTCCCATGGACTCTCCGTCTCGAGACTTGTCACACACGTGCAGGACAACATATCTGAAATCAGAAAAAAATGTTAACATTCAAAGAAAGACCTTAATTGTATGTTCATGCTTTTACAAACCAACTACAGGTCATGGCACTTTATCATAGTTACATGTATGTCTATTGAAGGAAAACAATGTTTTTACTCAGTTTCTTCCTCTTCTTCTTCCCTTCCAAACAAATATTAAGGTCAATGACCAGGACCAGACATCTGTCCCCATGGTGACTGGTGCTGTATTACATACTGCTGCAAGTGCCATGCAGAACTGAGTTCAAGAGGGGCTGCATGGTCACCATATATATGATTGTGTTTGAGTAAGAATAAAGAACAAACAAAGCAGTAGTTTGTTAAGCTGGGCCATGTGAAGGTAAACAATGTATTTGTTTGCAAAATGTTATCTTTCTAGTTTAGGTACTTATTTTAGGTTGTACACAATGATACATATTTCTTCCATGTAAATTTTCTTCAACAGGGACTTGAATACCTGTAGTCAAACTCCTCTTGTGGCACAGGAAACTCGTACGTCTGCTCCCACTCAGGGTCCAGTGTGTCTCTCTTCACATCTGTCTGTTCCACCTGGACAGATGAGGAAAAAAATCATCAAACACAAAACAAAGTAGAGTACACAAGACTTGATACAGCCACATGCTATATCCTTGGTACTCAATGGACAATCATTTACATGGTAAATGTAATAATGAACTTCAAACCTTGTAAGTAACTGAAACGGACTAGAAGTGAAGTAAAAATCATCATCATTCACTGTGTTTTATTACATGGTTGATGGTCATTTTAAGTACTAAGTGACTCCTGTAAGTTCTGTCCTTAGTGCTGAATGGCAATCATGTACCATATCAATTATTCTTTTGGTTCTCAGATGTAATCCTGAACTGGGAAAACATCACAGCCAAGTGAGAAAGCTTTTACCTTGGTGTGTTATGTTACAGTTTTAAGAATTACATATTGCAAGGTTTATTTGTGTGTTGAACACTTTGTTCCTCTCCGGGCTTAGTTTACAACTTAGTCTTACCAAAACTTCATCTTGTTGAACTATGCATATGCAAACAGAAACATGGACCAATCACTGTAACACTAAGACTGTCACCATAGTGTTGGAGGCTGTGATGATTGGTTTTCTTTATGAGTGAGAGAGAATCCTGAACTCTTGGAGACAGTGATTTTCGCAGTGTTAAAACCCTTATCATTTTCATAGTGACAAAAACACTTACCATAGTGATACCTGGGACCATGACTCTCACAAAGGGATGTGGGAGTGTGTGTCCGTCCCTGCACACCAGTCCTGAGGCCCTGTGGACGCTCACACACAGCAACTGGGGCAGCTTGTACCCCAGACTGATCTCCAGGGTACCACTGATGCTCAGGTCAGTCTGTGGAAACACAACAACAACAAGCATGTTGGTTGAGAGGTTTCAATACAGTAAGAAGAATAGAAGAGTTGTGGCAGTTTGTAGGCTAGGGAGATGTCCATGGTACCACTGTTGCTTAGGTCTATTGAAACACAACAACAACAACAAATGTATATATTGTTGTTACATGAATAGCATAAAATAGCACTTTGTGTAAGGTCACATGAAAGAGTTAGAGTTGTATCAGTTTGTAAGCTAGGCTGATCACCAAGGTATTGCGTAATGTGGAAAGAACAACAGCAACAAACGTATTGGTTAATCATTCTCCCTGGTTAGACATGAAACAACATCATACAGAACTAAAACTACAGTAAGTTTGTTGTTTGGGGAAGTGTCAACAAAATTCTGGGTCAGTCATTTTCTTTAATAAAAAGACTCAAGTCAAGCTAGGAGGTAAAGCAATACACAGTTGGTCTAACTGTCCTCACTTGAACTGATCCTGTCCTTGGTGCTGAAATCCTGGTATGCCTTCCATTGTAACTTACGGATAATATCATTATCAAAACATAACTGAGCAGTAAAGGATTATGATGTAAAATTAGAATGAAAAGTCTTCAGAAAAAAAATGACCAAAAAAACCTTTTGTAAATTCACCCTGTATATAATTGGTTTTGTGTGTAAATGGATGCATGAGACACGTGTAATGGTGGTGTCAAACATGTAGGTAATGGTCACTTTAATTGGGGACCATTAAAAAGCCATGATGACCCCCTGTTCTACAGCATTAAGCCATCAGGTCCCATTAACAATTACATAACTCTCACTGGGGGGATGGGGAGGGGGGCAGCCTCTGGCTACAATGTAAAAGTAACCCTTTGTTAGCAGCATTTCTGTTGAATATGAGTACAGATGTTGAATGATACTACATATGTTCTTCACTGATATGAATTGATTTCTTTGATTTCTACATTTTGACAGCATTTTTTGCAAGTTTCTTTTATGTTTTACAGCAGCAAGACTTGTATTCATACTTTCGTTGGACCCAGTGCTTTTGACAGTAGTTTGAAGAAGCCTCTTATAGTACCTTGGAGTACAAGATTTTCACCCATACTTTCTTGCTAAATTCCACTGTAAGCTGTTTTGACAATGTAGCTTTTAGGCGGCAGTTTTTAATAGCCCCCACATGGTCTAATCACGCACACAATGCCTCCACTCCGGCTAAGCCCCTGCGACGGGGATGAGTGCTAACCAAGTTCCCGGACGGGCATAAACAGGCCGTGTCGTGGTTGCTGGCACAGAGGGACCGGGATTCGCTGCGAGTGCCCGGCCATACATCTGTCTGGACCTGCGTAACCTCTGGCAGGGAGCACCCGCGATCCCGCCGCGTGCGCGCCACTCCATCATGCTCACTTAAGGTACGGCCCATATTTTAGTCTGACGATGCAATTGATCACCTGCGTCGATCGGGGGCCTTTCAAAGCGGCGCCCGTACGCCCCCCCTCCTCATTTCTCACGCGCTGACACCCGGGCTGCCCCGTCCGGCTGCGGGGCCGCGCTCGCTAATTTTACAAGGCGATCCATCCCCCCGGAGATCACTTGCAACATCAGTGATTGTCTTCAAATGGCCATTTTTGGCATCCCGGGGGCTTTGCAGCAATATTGAAGATACGGATCGCAGGTTGAGCATGGGTAGGGAGATGCTTATCATCCGTCATGCAGATGCTGGGAGGTGATGGGGAGAGAGATAGCGAGGCTAATGAAGGATGCTGTACACAGCAACCTTCTCTCTCCTGCAATTACGCCCTCCTGATGAAGAGAAATGGGGCGTCTAATGATTCGTAAGTGCAAATCCTCCCGAACGCTGTAGAGTCGGAGCTGTGGAGGGACACGGGTGCGGATCTGGAGTGATCGCGCCATATTCCCCGCTATTGATTCGTGATAAACTATCGCCACCGCGGAAACTCTCGTGCGCCGGGCGCGTACGTTTCCTTGACTCCCGTCCCCCCTCCGCCCAACACCCTCACGATACGAGAGATACCGATCGTCGCTACCCACAGTGTCAATTGTGGTTTCTTAATACAATAATCTATACGTCCTGATATGAAAACGTTGGCAGGTCTATTGACTTGTCGCGATGTCACACACGATACGGTACATGCTCCGTATGGATTTTCCCGTATGATTTGGCCTGGAGGGATACAGACTTCCAGCCGATCGCGGGTCTCGGGTGATCACGAGCAGCACGGGCGATTGATAGATTTATCGAAGTGTTTAATGGAAGGACTATCTGCGGAGATGCCCCTTGGAGATTTGCAGCAGTGGGGGGAACACCATTTAATATTCAGCAGTTGTCATTGCAGCGTTTTCGTGCCCTAAAGCTCCCTGTGAGAGTATCGCGTGGGAGCCGAGAGACTTCCTGGTGACACACACAACTCATAAAGCGGGCGACTCTCGCCCTCGGGCCGACACCACATCACGCAGAGCTCAAAATTAACTTTCCCGTCCCCGCAAAGAAGACCTGTCATCGAGCCATCTTGATGCGTCGTTTCGGGGTCTGCAGATTTTATTGTTTTTTATTACTCAATACCTGCCCAACATTCATACAATATGGATGTTTCTGTGATGCTCCCCTCAGGTTGTGATATTTTTGATTGTCCATTAAATCAGCGCGCTGAACTTTTGATATTCATTAGTCACCAGTACCCGTGGGACCGAATGCTCACAGCACAAAGGTTATGTTCAATTGCAAACAATACGGTAACCAAAACACCCAACCAAACACGTTGAACCCAACAATCAAAATCCATCTAAAAGCAATCAGCTACAAACTTTAGAGATGTCGAAGAATCTAAAACAAGTAAAATTTCCTCTGCTGGAAGGACTTATCCCCAAACTCAATTTATAGTTATGGATAGAAAAGTGGAAGTCAGCTCTCATATCAGTGGCCATATATATTGGGATGGCCATAATTTGATAACGTAAAGATTAGCATCATCCCATAATACAATTCTGCTTCACCCAGATATCCATCTCCGGTACTGTTAGAATAAGTAAAAAACAATATCAGAGTAAATAAAATCTGTAGAAATGAAAATACTTGGCCTGTGGGGTAATGATCCAACCCTGTTATAATTAGATTAAGGCCCAATTTACAAGTGGGGGAGGGAGTCCCTAGGGGCCACATTAACTCCCAGTCTGGACTGTACTGTCCACCATCAGGAGAATGCATTAAACATGGCCAATCAGGAGTATATTGGCTGTCGTGTACACAGAAAACAATGTGTGGAAACTGCATTTTAAAAGAAAGGCTCAGCAGACCTGAACTATGTACCTGTATGCACTATGTGTGTATAACAGGTATACGACAGGTAGAAAAAAAAAGTAAAATTAGATGAGTTAACAAAGTACAGTTTGACTGTTACAGGTGTGTTTTTATGTTTCTATATCTAAACAATATCTCGAATATTTAGAATTACAGTTCATTCTTAATGATGCCTTTATGACTGTTGACACTATGTATAGATAAAATTCCTCTGCCAGTTGCACTAAATTATTGGCGACGCCCTTTGGGGGCGGAGGCATTTGTGTAAGTACTACGATCGCTTTGAAAGAATTTCAAAAATTGCACGAATGCATTCCCTGGGGAATTGGTTTTGAGGAAACCTTCGGCCATGTGGTTTTTGGATCAAGCAGGTAACTTACACGGGGTGCCCACATGCCACCCATTCAGCTGCCTGGCATGATTAATTACTGGACATTTGTCTTCTCCCCACACCATGGACAGAGAGCACAGCTGTCTTTGGCCAAAGACCATATCAGATCACAGAGAGAAAAGAAATTGTCCGTCCATTTGGATCCCACAAAAGGTAAAAAAAAGTCAAAGGAGTAACAACTTCAGACCAGAC